GTCTTCACTAGGGAGACGTTACCTATTTTTGTAACTTTTTGATTATTTCGAGGAAGGTCTCTTATTATATAAGGGAGACCTTCACATTGTAAAGGGGAGGATTCTGGAATAATACAACTCTCTCATTTTCTGACTTTCTCTCTCTATCTCTGCCTCAAACGAACATATTCTCTTGAGTTCATATTATCACTTTGCAATACTACATCTACAACAATAACATCATTTTTTCATCTCTAGGTCTATTATATTAGATTACGATTTACCCTTTTCTTACTTTTGATTGTTTTCTAGCTTACAAAGTATATTGTTAACTTTTGAAACAAACAATGGTATATGATGCAATTATAACCATTAGACTGCAAGGATAATCTCGTTAAGAATTTCTTCTTGAAATGGTTAGTCAAATTAAAGAATAAATTATTAGTTTGATAAGAATTTTATGTTTTCTTTTCAGTCGGATTTAGTACTGAGGTGAATTCACATTAATAAATTACAGGCATTAAACAAACATTTGGTTGGTTAGATATCAGATTGATGGGATTTTTTCCTGTCCAAATCTCACACATTTATTTATGAAAAACAAGAACAACATTAGATAACATGTTAGTATCCTACTGCATGCATTATTTTAAGTTCTAATTAATACATTTAGATATCTTTCAAGACAAAACTAGCTTTATCACTAACTATGCTCAATCACTAACCAAAATACTAGCATCGACTGACATGTAAATATAGGTAAACCCTAGAGGTTTTTTGGAGTGTCGCTTGCCATGCCAAGGCACAAGCCAAAAGTAATATGCCAATATACAAAGACAATGTTGCAAATAGAGGTTTTTCGAGGTGTTGCGTGAGAGGCCAAGGCCTATGTCAATGGCCCGAGGTCGGCCATGGCATGCCTATGTCAGTGGTATGAAGTCGGGCGTGGTAGGCCGCCATGACACGACGCAGGGCGTGGCATGCCTATGTCAATGGCCCGAGGTCGGCCGTGGTGGGGCAATATGGGCCGAGGTCGACTGTGGCATGCCTAAGTCAATGGCACAAGGTCGAACATGACAGGCCGCTATAACACGGGGTCGGGCATAAGCATGCCTATGTCAATGGTATGACATCAGGCGTGGCATGGCAAGACGCAAGGCATGGCTATGGCACGGTGTCGGGCGTGGCCATGGAACGACATCAGACATGGCCATGACACAATTTCGGGTGTGGCCATGGCACAGCGTCGGGCGTGGCCATGGCACGACGTTGGGCATGACCATGGCACTACGCAAGGCATGGCCATGGCATGACTCAGGGCATGACCATGGCACGATGTTGGGCATGGCAGGGCATGGCCATGACACGATGTCGAGCGCGGCAGGACGTGGCCCTGGCACGACGCAGGGCGTGGCCATGGCACGGCGCCGGGCGTGGCCATGGCACAAAGCAGGGCATGGCCATGGCACGACGTCGGGCGTGGCAGGGCGTGGCCATGGCATGACTGCGGGCATGGCAGGCTGCCATGGCACGAGGCAGGGTGTGGCCATAGCACATGTCGGGGGTGGCAAGACTTGGCCATGGCACGACGTAGGGAGTGGCAGGCCGTCATGGCACGATCTCCGGCATGGCCACGGCACAGTGTCGGGCGTGGCAGGGCGTGGCCATGGCACGACGCAGAGCATGGCCATAGCACGACGTTGGGCGTGGCAGTGCGTGGCCATGGCACGACGCCGCGCGTGGCAGGCTGCCATGGCACAAAGCAAGCGTGACCATGGCACGGCGGGCGTGGCCATGGCATGATGCAGGGCATGGCCATGGCACGATGTGGGGCGTAGTTGGACGTGACCATGGCACGACGACGAGCATGGCCATGGCACGGCGCAGGGCATGACCATGGCACGACGTCGGGCGTGGCAGGCCGCCATGGCACGAGGCAGGGCGAGGCTATGGCACGACGCAGGGCGTGGACATGGCACGACGCATGGCGTAGATGTCGGGCGTGGCATGGTGTGGCGGGGCGTGGCCATGGCACGACGCAGGGCATGGCCATGGCACGACGTCGCACCATGTCTAGTGCTAGCCCAATGCTTAGCAACATGTCAAGCGCAATGATGTTGGTGGTTGGTGCTCGTGGGTGGAGGTGGTGGAAAGTTGCGGTGGTTCGTGCGGTAGCACCGACGACGGTTGTTGATGCTTGGTGGTTGGCGGTGATGGTTTGAAATTGGAATTACTTATGGTGGTTGTGACGATGAAAGTGCATCATGATTATTGGTGGTTGATCATCTTTATATCTTTATACTAAAAGTCAATCTCTGGGGAAAAAAATCTGAATGGAAATTAATTAGATCAAAATCTCGTACCCCCACTAATTCAAGAACAGATTTATAAGTGGGGGACTGAAAAGACATTAAACTGGTTTGCCCCTCCGCCGGCAATGATAAGTGGCGGGCAACTGATATTTGACCATACACCCCACCCTTTATAGTTCGGTTTTGTCACATTGGTTGAAAGTTGAAATTAAATGTCAAACTTTATATCATAGCTATAGATAGTGCACGTGAGACCACAGATTCTTGGGATTGTGAATGTACCCTACAAATTGACGTTTGATTTATTGGTTGGTGAACCAGGGCCGTGGTTAAATAATAATTACTCATTCTTCCTTAATCAAAGGTTTTAATTTCAGAGTTGGTATGAAGTCATCTTTATTATAGAACTTTTTATCCCTCCAATATAAAATATTTTGGCGTGAATGTGAAACTAATTGGGCCACAATGTTGTTACCAAATACCGAGTGTAAAAAAGTATTGCTTGAGGTTTCCTTTGACCTGCCCCTATTTGATAAGAAGACATGACTTGGCTAGAATCTGAATATGGCTGGTATTAGGGTAGCAAACGGCGGGTCAGGTCGGATATGGACGAGTCGAAAACGGGTAATGCAGAAACGGACAATTATCCAATCCGATTCATATTTAATACAGATGAAAAACGGTTTAACTGGCGGATAATATGGATATTCATATTATTCATGGCTTCTTGAATATGATTAGTATTGAGCGAATTCATAGTCTACTAAATTTGAGGAACCCGCAATTTGAGGCTCTACAAATGTAAAAGTTAAACTCATTAGTTATCAATTGGTTATTCATTTTCTAAGTGAAAAATATAGTTTTTATCCATATTTGATCCGTTTTTAAATAGTTCATTATCCAACCCATTTTCTAATGGATAATATGAGTGGATATAACTATTTTTCTTTTAACCATTTTGCCACCACTAATTAGCATCATGTCAAACATTGGTCTCCATCTCTAGCTGGCTCGTCAAGATAGAGGAATAGCAAAGTTGGTTTATCAGAGATTTTATTCACAGAATGAGTTGTATACATCCCTCTAGGCTCTAAAATACTCATGAGTTATAATTGATTTTTGTTTTTAAAGATGTAACAGCATGATTATTTAAAACATGGTTAAAAAGTGTATCTCCATATGTGGAACTCAATTTTTTTTTTTTTTTTTTTTTACAAAAATCTTCGTTATCCTCAAATTGGTCGTGCTTGATCTAAACCCGCTTTGAACATGTCTTCAACCTCGCTTCAAATAACTGGCTCTGATATCACTTATTGGGATCGAAATAACAGTGTCATGCTGAAGCTAACAAAGCAAACTTTGAAGACAAGAAATGAGACGATAAAATAAAATTATATTATAATAGAATATTATAACGAGGTATGATCAGTAGACCTACATATAAGAAAACTAATATAAAAGAAAATACACAAACTATTGAGAGAAAAACTCCCTCTAAACAAGACTCTCTTAAGTACTATATGATGGGTGATATTGTGTTATTATGTGAAGGAGGGATCCTCAGATAGAGGCCCGTAACTTTTTACTCCAAGAAAGAGATATTTCATATATGGAAGAGATTTATATTTTACTCTTACAAAAATAAAATCAATTATGGTAAATAAAATTCAAATGTGAAAAAAAAAATTAGGATAAACCCTAACAACTTTTGCTTGGACACTTATAAATATCTTTGTACGTAATCTCGTAATTTAAGAGTAGAGTTTTTAAATACGATAAAAGTGTGTCTAATTTATGTTTACCTCCCTCTTCCATCTTTTCTGTGTCTTATTATATTATGAAGAGTCTACCTTATTCCAACATATAGAGATGCAGATCTAGTCCTTTGGTATCGAGTTCATGTAAACTCGGTATTTTCGACTTAATCAATATATATATATATATATATATATATATATATATATATATATATATATATATATATATATATATATATATATGTGTGTGTGTGTGTGAAAATTCACTAAAATTTTAACAAATATTAGGTATAAATTCATAATTTTAAGAATATAATAAGCTTAATACCAAAAATTTTAAAAGTCAGAACCCATCAAATAACAATCCTAAATCTGCTTATGTGTTGATACAAGGAGTAGAGTAGTTGAGCAAAGAGTAGAATGTTTGTTATAGAGCTTGTGAGAGTATGATGGAGTGAAAGGTTGCAAGATTCTCGGGAACCGTTGAGAATCGTGAAGCAATGGCCGTTACGATGGAACAAATTATTTGATGTAAATCACTTGGTGCAAGTAAGCATTTACCCATCTCTGGCCAAATTTCACATCATCAAATAACATATTTTATTTTATAACATGACAATAAATAATGGTATACGGATTGATGGGACTTTCGAATGATTTCACATGAGTACGAAAAACGTTATCTTATTATTATTCTGGATACAGCAAACCTGTATGATAGAGAGGTTAAGGTAGGGTACCCAATACAATATAATAGAGGGATCGGACAAGACAGAAACATTATTCCAATTTTGATAACAAGTCTCTTTCATTGTGGGGTTGGATAAGAGACAAAGCCCTTGTTAAACCTATGTCCCATGCATTCTTCGTAGGACCAACTCCATCTCTCTACTCTTTCTTTCACCACATATTTTCCTTTCATATATCTTCTCTTTCCCTTATATATATTTTCAAGTCCTAAACACTCCTCAAACAATTTTCCTCTTCAACTCAGAGCTATATATACATAATTGTTACTTCCATATATATATATATATATATATGGCTGCTCTTGCAAGTTCATTGTCATCATTAAGAGGTTCGAAGATCAAATCCATGCAACGATGCTCGAAGCAAGTTAGAGAGCAGAGGGCAAGACTTTACATTATCTGGAGATGTACAGTTCTACTTCTCTGTTGGCACGACTAGAAATCGGGTCAATCACTAGTGGAAGAGCCATGATTTACCTAGCAATATAGTATAATTTTCCGGCAAAGGGGTGTCGTAACTCCGCCACTGTCTATGACAATGGTTCCAAAATCGTTGCAATAGATAGGAAAACCGCTGCAATAAGCCTAATTGTTAGTAGTGTGCATGATTAAGTTCTCGTGATGAGGATTTCAGTATGGAGTTCGAGGTACCAAAATACTCAGATGATTCAGAGTGAGGATCCAATTTATAGCTTTTTGAGGGGTGGTATAGCCCTGACTTTTGTGTAGGAGTAGAGACTAAATTACATGTACAATGTAAAATATATACCAAAAGCCTATGAGTGAATAATACTCGAGGAAACTTTTCTTATTTTAAATTGACAAGTAGCTTTTTTCCCTACATTTTTAATGCTATGATCTGGAACCAATAATGTCCCACTATTTTACAATGTGTTTTAGTTTTACAATTTAGTTTAGAAAAGGAATACAATCTAAGACATTCTACCATTAGAGTCAAAATAGAAACTTACTGAAGTGTATGGATAAGTACAAGATAAGGAGAACCTCTCACTAATAGCACCTAATTTCTGTAAAAAGACAAATTATTTAGTATTGGGATGTAAAAAAAAAAAAGACAAACAAAACTGATCCAACAGATTTTATAACCAACCCCAACTAGTTTGGACTAGAACTAAGAGGTAGTTAAATGATTGATTTATCTTTTAGTAATAATATATACGCAGTTGAGTGATATGTGAAGCAGAATTTGTGCGTAAGATTTGATGTTCCATGATTAATGCAAATAGACTAATGCTGGTGGAGATGACTGATGTTAGATAAAAGTGAAGAAAAAAGCAAAAGAGAGCAAGAAAGGCAACTCTATTTGACCGAAATATCTTAAAAGTAGACACGAATAGTTCATAACTAAAGAGAAATTATCACAAACCACTATTTTTTAGTGGTTATTAGCTAGTTATAGCTATCATTTACTATATTACTTACTATAGCTATATTTTCAGTTTTGCTAGAGTGTATTCGATGTATTTAAGCTACTGTATTCATGAATACAGTAGCAAAACTCGGTGTGAAACAGAGAAGTACAGCTAGACAATTATTGTATTCGACGGTATTCACGATATGTATTTGTGAATATAGTAACGTAAATAGCGTAAATCGTAGTCTATTCAGCTATTTTTAAACGGAAAGTGAATCAATTAACACAAATAGACTCTTAATATAACTTAACAAACTCAATTATAAATCTGAATACATAAATACATCTGAATACATAAATTATATTAATTAAAAAAAATATATGAATACACTCATGGAATATAGCAAGACATTGAATACAATGAAATACATGGAATACATCAAGATACATTGAAATACAATGGAAAAAAAGACAAGGAATACAATAAAATACTTAGAATACAGCAAGATACATTGAAATACAATGGAAAAAAAAAGGTAACAGACTCTTCAAGTTGCTCTGCCCCAAACTCCGTCGTCTTTGTTCAAGAATAACCCTAATGTCGTCTCGTCGATAGCAGATTTTGAACCTCCATTGTCAGCCCCAATTTACCCTATGTCAGATTTCTGACAATGATACGAAACATAAGACATTAATTTCTAAACAGACTCTTCAACCACTAAACATAGCTATACGAAATTTTCATTGTCAGCCCCAATTTATTCTGTATCTTCTGATCCAAATGTTTAAAGGCCACTACTGGACGTATTGGTACATATTGGAAAGCTGCTTTCGTCTAGTCGTGAATTTTATTGGGGCTTTCTCTCTAGGGCTTGATTTCGACAATGAAGATGAATCATTGGAGAATCATGGTTGTATTCATGGAGAAAGACTGGTCTCCATGCATGGTTGTGTTCATGGAGAAAGACCGGTGGTGAGAGAGAGAGAGGGTGGAGAAAAATCTGAAAGAATGAGAGAGAAAAATAAATCAAAGCGTGTTTTATTATTTGACTATAAAAATCAAAAGGTAGCTATGGAATATAATTTTTTAAAAGGGTATTTATTTAAAATAAATAAGGTATCAACCTTTACTACAGGAGGTAAAAATTCCATAATGAGATTATTTAGACCTTGGGCGGACTGTCAGGGCACACTGCGAATTCTTGTATTCAAGACCCATCACCTTAATAGAAATCAATGTCGTACTTGTTGGATTCTTAACAATTCATGCAAAGTTCGGTCATTTAGGATCTTAAAATAAACCCTTCATATGAAACTTTTGGAAGCCAATCGAGGTATGCATGCGCAATAACAATCTGGACTGATGACATTAGTTAATCAAAATTTATGCAGATGTGGCATGGTTAAATTAACGTTGTCACTTGCCAGCAGTGACAAATAGGAAAATGGAAAGAAAAACAGTACAGTAGGTGAAAATTTCTAAATTGACTCATAGCCCTGCATTCCTGATAGATGGAAGCGGCACAAGGCTAACAACACTTTCAAGCTGAAACCATAAAGCTAAACTTGACTAGAATCATGATGTACTTCTCTATATATAAGCTGTTATTATATACTTGTTCTGTACATATACTTGAAAATCGAGATAAGATACTTCAGGTTTGAAATAGCTCTCAACCACCATCGCAAAATGGCATAACAAACTTGAATTCCAAAAAAGTTTCTACCAAGAAACTTATTTAATAGATGAGAAGCAAGCAGTCAATGGTTTTTCTATACTAGTCACGGCATATACCACTTATTCACATACATAACTCGCGGTTGTCACACATTTCCCATTCATCATCTAGAAGATCCTTGTCATGGATCACCGACTTTACATCTTCAGATGCCTTGTGCTCCTCCTCATGATAAGAAGCTGTATCCACCTTTTCTGGAGCATCCAACAAATCTGCAGGGTCAGCCACCTGATCTGGAACCATACTCTTCAAAGATGAACTAGATGAGGCTAAGATGCAGCTAGTTTGGCTGGAACATAAAGACTTGCTTAGAGGAATACGATCATCAAACTTCTCTTTCAACAACCTCACATCTTGGCATATAACAGAGATTTCGCCTCTGCAAAAGGTTGCAACAATATCCATTGAGTCTTAAAGGATTAAAAGATTAGCAAGTACAGCGATTACAGTGGCATAGGATCTGGGTAAAGGGGGAAAACTAAAAAAAGAAAGGGCAATACAGAGAGAGAAGTAATACACACTATCATCAATAGTTAATTCAAACTATCATCAAAAGTAATGCTCAAAAGAATTTTTCATTTTTTTGCTCAGATCATAACACAAGAATAAAAGTTTATTTGGACAGCTGGTTTTCCCCCAATACAAGTTAAATATTAGTTGCTGTTGAATGTATCAAGTAAAAACCAGCCTGAATCAGACAGCTGTTTTTTTATCTTGGCATGCCACCAATCAAGCACAGTTCGACATTTTTCCAGCAAAAGAATTCCCCGTTAGGAGAGCATAAATATCAAAGGAAATTTTTAAAAAAGACCTAAAGAATTTAAGGAACACTTACTGCAACATATCTACAACACGCCCGCGGTCCACCAGGAAATCCCTCAACTGTGCAACAGACAAACAAGAAGATAAAATCACTAAACTAGAACTTTTTTCAGAAGACCCATGCAGAGTAAAAATCCATTTAAGTAGCAAGGTTCATTACCTTAGCATTTTCTTCTGCCTCTTGCTTCAGAATATTTGACTCTTGCACAACTTTTTCCATAATGATTTCCTGGTCAGTAAGTGCTTTGCGTGCGACCTCTTCCTTGTCTAGTCTTTCTTGCTCAGCAGCTTTCATTACTTCCTCAGCTGCAGCCTTTCGCACCTCAAGTGTCTGATGCATCTACACAAAGGAAACTTCGAACTTCAGGTTAAAGAAGCATATCATACAACTATTCACATCCACCTCTCTTCTATTTGGAGAGAACCATAAGTACAAGAGAAGCATCTGTGGTTTGGCAGCTTGATATCCATGTGAAAGCTACCACTCAGGTCCATAGAACCAGCAATATGAAACAAGAAAAGTTTAGAAAAAGGCAAAACAAGGGAAAAGACGTGCTCTATCCACTGGACTATTGGAGGAAGAACACCTTTCAAAGGTGCCATATCATGTTGAAAGCTCCTGCTTAACCACTCTATTCTTCCCTTGTATTTTTTTTGGGGGTTGCTGGGGATGGGGGGTGGGGGGGGATGCAGGATCGAACTAGAATAACAGAAGCTTTGACAGACGGAGAAGGGTATCACTGAACATGCAAACAGACGTACAAATACAAATGTTAAAACGGAATGTTTAGATTTCCCTGTGTTTAACTCATGTCCTCCCAGCTTATCAGAAACAAGTCCAATATGTAAGCTTGTTGTGTCAGTCCAGACCTATATGTTTCAGAAACAATTCAGCATATACTAGACATCAAGATCTAGTATACCTTATATTGAGGTCAAGTAACAGTTATTGAAGAACAAAAGGAAGTGCTCATACATTTAAATGCAATATTAGTATGACAAAGTCCATGCCCAGTCGCCCTTTAAATGTTGCAGGTATAAATCAAAATAGTAGAACAAAATCGTGTTAGAAGAAAACGAAAAAAAATGGAAAAAAAAAAATCCAACTCTGAAACACAACAAAGATCATCCGCTAAAACTAGCAATTCTGTCTGCACATTCAGCTTGTAGAGGTCGCGATGACTGCATAAGATTCTCTCCTTACAGAGTCTCTTGTACAGCTCCTCACTTTCATAAACAAAGATTAAAACATTCCCTCACCTCATCAAGAACTGCAAGAGATTTATCCCTTTCATCTGCCAAGCCGAGGAGCCGAGATTGAAGCTCTTTAACTTCAGTAGCTAAGATGGCTTTCTCGCCATATACTTCACCAGCATGCTGCAGAAAACATTGTGCAACGTGGTTGTTAGGTTACGAGTGATGAAAGATCTAAACCATCATATATCAAAGGGCCAAAGAAGAGAAAGGCAACCATATTGTTTGCTTCCTGCGCATGTTGTAGCATTTCTTTCAGGTCTTCAACCCTCTGAAGCATATCCAGTCCCCCCTTAGCAGCTTCCTGTTTCGCCTGCTCTGCAGCTTCCTCTTGCAGTTCAACTTCTCTCATCAAGCAGATAACAGACTCCACAGCCGAAAACAATGTTTTCTGCACCAAGTTTTAATTATTAGACTTCCAGAAATTTCCCAAGAAAGTTGCTAACCTCCCCTATTAGACTTCAAAACATATTTCAGGAAAACAGGCCTTCGCTTATTCTGTTTCTGTTCCAACTTCCATGAATTTTAGATAAGATTGGGAGGTATCAGGGCCTGAATATAAAGTAAACACGGAGATGTTTCTAGACATGGTGGACATCTATCCAACAGTAACCTGTAAATACAAGCCAAAGCTGATCCCCATGCCAAAGTATTACAAAGCTAAAGAGGACTTGGAACTGACTAACAAATTACAAGGGGTAGGGACCTACTTGCACAGATTATTTGCATGACAAAGAGATTCTAATCTCAGAAACTACTAAGCAGTTGATCAAGCATTCATTATGAACCACTACCTAATGCTGCCTATCCCAATGAACTAAACACCTGATAACAGTTTGCTGTACCAGAAAGAACAGCAAGTTGCATCTGCAGCTGTAAAACTTGATTGATGAACATTCTACATAGATAAGCAGCAACAACAAATTTTCACTGTGATAAGCACAAACAAATATAATCCACAACAGAAACCATGAAAAACAACTCTGTTTGCACAATTGAACTATGCGTAAGAGGTCTTTTGACTTCCACTTGAAAGCAGCTAATACTCCCAACTTCGCACAACCAAGGTGTCCAACATCAACACAGACAAGTTACACTAGCGGGATAAAAACATTTTTTATGACGATGGTGTTCGGGCAAGCTGACACACCTCAATACTCCACCCGGGACATGCTACCTTCCACTGGCACAAGTACCGGGTGACTCTTCCTACCAAGGCTTAGGCAGATAGGAAAGAATCACCTAGATTTGAACATAAGACCTCGTGGTTCTACCACTAAACCACTAGGTCACACCCTAGAGTATAATAACTCATTTGGCACAGCCAATGTTAATCGTCCATATTGTTTGGTAAACGAGTGTGAAAAAGATATATAAAGAGTACCTTGTTACTTTTGGCTTCTGTGATCATATCCTCAAGAAGGTCAACGCTACAGATTTGACCAGATGCAGTGACCACAGGATTTGGCATAGACTCTACTTCATCTACAAGCATTTCACCAGCCAAATCATTATTAAATGTAACATTGATGGCATCATTAAGTTCTGCTTTCTCTAGCTCATAGTCACACGCATCTGGTGCAACCACCAACTCTATACTACTTTCAGAACCACTCAAGGTAGAATTTTGAGCATTCAAGGAAGCTAGCTGACTCTCAGGATGTTTCATGTCCAGATTGTCTACTGAAGATACTATTTTTTTGCGAATAAGAGCAGTAGAATCATCAGAAGGTGAGTTGTCAGTCACTTCAAGGGTATTATGCGAAACAACACATTCCGTAGGCTGATAAAGCTGATTGTATGCAAGTTCAGTTCCATCATCTTTTACTTTGAAAGGATTTGCTTCAAGACTTGCAGACTGAGCACGTTCCTCATTTTCGATGAGGGAGGGTCCACACTTCTCATAAACATCATATCTAGGACTATCTTCAGCATTTGACATGACAGATATAACTTTGCATGACTCGTCAGCATTAACTTTGACATTGATTTTATCGCACTTCTCCCTGGAGACCGCTGTACTACTTCGATTGCCTTCAAGCACTGTACGATCTCCACCAACAGCATCATGATAATGCTGAAGGGATTCACCATCGGTATCTTCAAGTGTTTGATGATGTCCACAGCTAGCATCATAGAATGACAAGCCATTTTGCAGTTCATCTAAATCCTTTGTTTTGTGAAGAAGAGCAGCATCGGTATGTGGAGCTCCATTAGCATCTACTGCAGCTGAGGCAGGCAGTATAATGGAAATAAAATATACTTCAGTCTGATAAAGGGACTAACAAAGAATAAAAAGGGCTTCCATTTCAAGAACCCAGGTTTACGTATAAATTAAACCAGAGAAAGATGGTTGCTTCACCAAAGCTAGGCATTACCTTCAGATGATTTAACAGTAACTCCAGTCTCTCCAGAAGAAGCTGACGGGAGCTTATTTCTTTCAGACAAACAGGGGATAATTTCACTAAGGACTACCTCGACCGCTGTGTCGGGATCCTTACAATGCTCAATAGCAACAGCTCTAAGAATTCTAGAATCAACCTGACCAATCAAGGAAACAGAGTGTCATAACTGTAGCTATTTTTGGTACTCATTTTGCAACAAATCTCAAACTAAACTCAACATAGATAAATGGGAACTACACTCCTGGGGGATGATGTTGCTAATTTGTTTTTTACAACCACACTACCACTGACACATTTTAAGCTACACCAATCGAGCAGTAGTAGAAGAAAATGCTAACAATAATAGTTGAAAATTTTGTACGATGAAGAAACATAACATCAACATTCAAATGTGATTAGTTAAATTCTTAAACATACTTAAATTCTAGAAACTTGTGAAAGTTGTATAGGATAGTATTATTAGTAGAACAGTGTCAGACATTTTGGATATCACAAAATAAAAGGAGTTTCATATAAATTGGAACTAAACGAGGAAAAAGAGAGTAACATTGATCCAATTGTATGATTACGGAACATAATTTCATAGGGAAACAGATATTTAAAACAAGTTTGGACGTTCATCCCAAAAATAACAGAACCCATTTGATGTCTTCAAATGGCAATTGATGTTTTACATTTTTCTAAAGATAGTGCAAAGCTGCGCACGCATGCTAAAATTGTGCCACTTTACTGTAAGCCCAAACAAAAAACTGAGCATATGATGAGTCTTAAATGAAAATAAATATCATCATACCTCTGGAAAAATCTCCTGCAATGCCTTATAAACTTTCTTAAATCCCATCTCCAACAGCTATGGATGTAATTCTGCTCAAAAAGACAACAAAAGGTGTGCAAAGACCACGAAAACGTCAGTGCCACAAAACAACGTAGCAAACACACAGATTTTAAAATAACAGAACGCTTTTAACACAAATAACTGAATTGATAATAAAAAAGGCAATAAACAAATAATATTTCAAAATCAGATCAATTGATTACGTATCAGCCTTAAACTAGTTCGGTTCTATATAGATCCTCGGCATCCATTCTGCTCTATCACCGCTCATATATTATAGTCTTATAAAATTCTCTAACGCATAGGAAGAGTATGAATTTTAAAAGAGAAGAAAAACCCTAACCCTAAGAGACTTACATATTGCAAGGGTAAAACAATCAAAAGCTCACAATCTTAGATTACATATTACACGTACAAAAAAAAAACAGATTAAACCCTAAGAGACTATCATATTAATCAAAAAATAAGAAGGGAAAAAAGTCAAATCTCTGACCTTGTGGAAAATTCAGGGATTTGGGATAGAGCAGCGGCAAAATTATGAGTATATAGAGGTGGGACGTACCGTAGGGGAGAGTAGAGAGAGTGTGGGAAGGCGAAAGAGCGAGTCCTATTTGTATTTGTAGTATCCGCCTCGATAGGAGTGGAGGAGACCTATGCCGCTAAGGAACGGATGATTTTGTCAATTAAGAATTTATCCGAGGATAATCTTGTACATTTAATGGACGACTCTGGACCTTTGGGTAGTTGACGTGGCGGGGTTTTTGATTGGGTTAATGACCCATTCCATGCATGCTGGGGCCCATTTTATAACACCCGCTGTGGGCCCTATCTGACGCTTTTTGCTACCAAAAGATATGCGAAACAACTAAGAAACCCGCTATCGATCAGTGATCAATTGGTACACAAACGTTTACTGATCCCAAAAATGTAACGTTAGCTATTAGTCAAATCTTTTTTTTTCCTCGTCTTTTCCCAAAAAAAGGGAAGAAACTCTCGTAAACGAAAAAAAAAAAAGAAACAGCTGCACCTTGATTTTCTGAAGGCAAAAGATATTTTCTTCGTCCTATTTAATGCCCACGATATGACTTAATTTGAAGTAGAAATTGTTAATTTAATATCTTTATTATATTAGTAGTTACAATAATATTCCTCTGCTTTAATTTATGTTTCAGTGTTTAATTAAATACGAAATTTAAAAGTGGACAGTTTATCCATACAAAAATGCCAAATATGAATCTGCCACCGTACTTATGTGTCAAGTGTAACAGATAGGTAGAGCACTGGGGATGTAGCTCAGATGGTAGAGCGCTCGCTTAGCATGCGAGAGGTACGGGGATCGATACCCCGCATCTCCAATATAGACATTGCTTAATTTACACTTTTTTTAACCTTTGCTTATCATAACATTTACAGTAACTGGGGCACAACTTATATCTCTGCTGAAGAAAACAAGAGTATCAAATAGTGTAAACTGCAACAATTTACATTGCCTGATTAATTGAAAATGACTACAAAATTTTTTATACAGACTACAGCTGCATGGTTCGGTTTACGCTTGGTAAACCACATGTTAGTGCTAGAGAAAGGCCTCTCCCCATTATCTTCGTGGAATCATCCCTCAACTGACTTCTTTTGCGTCCGTCCTTGCTTTGCTTGCCCTCCCTGACAAGTTCAATAAAATGTATGACAAGTTAGCTGTAGCAAGTAATCAGACACCATGGATCAATTCTGTACCGAGCCAAGAATTCTAACAAGGAGATTCAAAAGATGCAAAAATGTCACACCTAAAATTCAAACTTGCGACCTAAAGCACCTTTTGAGCCACCTTTGCTGCTAAACTAGAAGCTTCCTTTACGTCAAGCGGATTAACAAACACACACACACACACACACCATTATATATATATATATACCCAAAAAAAATTGTTTTTCCCCAATTTGCACAGTATTATTTTATTTTCTAACAAAAGGGATTCAATTAAACTCCTTTCAAACCATGCAGCTCTACCCGTGCTGTTGAAGATCCTAAGTTATGTATGTACATTCCATCAAGAAGAATGTAAAATTGCAATACCACGCCAAATATGGCGCTCAAGCAGCATTCCAATACCCTATTTGAAAGCCTATATTGATATCCAATGAGCAACGTCACTTTTAGTACCCTTTTCAATTTTTGTCATTGGATTTCTTATAATGAACAAACATAGTCTGAAGACAAATAATTCAAGCATAGAATATGCTGAATCAGAAATTTCTTTTCCACTGGTTACTATTGAATCTAATGCCTGTGTAACTTTGAAATTATACGATATCTAACAAAAGACCCTCTGTCTCTATCAGCTTCTATCACAACTCATAGAATGGTAAACAATTTGGTCATCAAAGGCAAATTAGTATCTTTACTTGATTTATCAAAACAACAAAAAGCAAATTAGTATTTTCCCACACCTCTTAGCTTGAGCACTGTGACAAAGAAGTAAAAGTTTTACTCTCTGATATTCATTATAACCAAGCACAAATAAAAATGAGAACTAAGAAATTGTCCTTCAGAAAAAGATAGATTCTGCTTTATGACATTACATCACACACATGTAATAGATTGTGTGATAAATTTTGTTCCACCTCATCCTAACTTACAAAAGCATGAAATTTTATGCAGCAACAACCAGCATAGTCCAAAGAAAAGGAAATAAATACATTTTCAATAAACAATTCTTGTTTAGACATCAAAGAATGCACACTGAGAATTGACTTATGATATTATAGCAGTACAATTTTATCTTAGACCTTGCTCATTGAACCACAGAACACGTACACTAATGTGATAGAGATTTGACAAAAAATTCCAACATGCAATAACACTTCATCTCTACATGAGGTAATATCAGAAGAGATTGTTTGAGACTTACCGAAGCCTTTTGACCTGTCGCTTTCCTAGCAGGCGGTGCTCGAGCAACGGATGAAGCAGCAGCTGCAGCAGCTACACGTATTCTAAAGTACAGATTGTACCAAAAAGAGAAAGTCAACAACTTAGAACCATACAGCAATGCTACTAGTGACCATTATAACAGTGAACACTATTTATCATCCAAAAACAGACAACTTAGAAAGTAATTAAGACCTTTTGTGAACATCAACATAGACGTCAGTCTCATCCACGATTTCCTCCTGCATCCATGAAGAATCCAGTCAAAAGTAGGATGTAGATTCAGATATTGAAAAAGTTGGAAAAAAAGCATTCAGCAACAGGAAGATAAGTCTAATTGGATAGTGAAATTTTTTTTTTTTTCATAAAAAGGTAAAGTTAGATAATGACAATTCATGATTTTTAACCCATTTTAGAGGTGGGAGAACAGGATGTTCAGAAGCCTCACTTGAGAACTTGCAATTAGTTGCAAGCAATAAGATATTCCATAAGGTACACATTGGGAAGACAATGAAGAAGCAGATTACCTGAAGGAGTTCTTCAAAAACATCTTCCAGCGTAATGATGCCAATGACTTCCCCCTCTTCAATATCTTCTGGTAGATATGTTGATTTATTCGTTGCTACACCATTTTGATGCAAAGAGTGTAATTTAGCTTCTTGATTCTGCATTGAGACCTTATCAACATTTATAATTATGGTGCCTGATTTTTCATCATGCGTGCACAGTAATGGTGTAGTTAACTGTGAGTCCCCATTACAAAATTTGTTTCCTCTGCCATTTTCAACAGCTGGATCAGAAGAAAGGTTGTAGCTTTTCTTGCTTACTTTCACTACAGCTGCCATATGACTGCTCCCCTTTTGAAACTCATTGAGAATATCATACAAAGGCAAATCTGCTGGTACCCTGAAACATTTATGAGTGAGAATATATATTTCTCAGCTACCCCACATCAAAAATCAACAGATAATGTACCTAGGCATTCTCCTGATGGAAACAGCACTAACGGGGGTCTCTGTCTCAGCGCGCACCGTGAGAAGGCTTTTTACCTGTATCCCGTAGAAGCAAAAAGGGAAGATGATTCTTATTAAATCGCCAACAGAGGCATAGAAAATGAAATATTTTGAGATCTGAATTCACACAAACCAGTAGAAGTCCAATAATGTTCTTCGGATGTCCAGAGTAAACAGGAACACGGCTATGACCTCGTGCCAGGATTTTCCCAATTGCTTCCCTGAATAAGAGGAGCTTCTTAGATAAAGAAAATCTGTCTCTCCTCTGGAAAATAATTCCTTGCCACAAACTTCTCACTTTTTCTTTCGGTGGGTGAGTTTTTGTGTGTGTGTGTGGGGTGGG